CTCAAAACAAGACACTGGTTTAAGATCCAGTATCTAATTTTTACCCCATACAGAAATAATTTAGAGAGAAGAAATTACTACACGCTGAAATATGAGATCAAATTACTCATTCCATATGCACGTAAGGATTTTAATGTTCCATCTGCCAAAGCAAGATGCATGAAAAGAGAGGGAAATGTGGAAAAAAGAATTACAATGTATTATACAGAATTACAAATTTCCTAAGATGAGTATGATCATTATGTACATCAAAAGCATACTAATAACATTAATTAAATAAATAAAGTTCCCACTCTTAGCTGGGTATGGTGGCTCACCCAGTAATCCCAAAACTCAGGAGGCTGAGGCAGGAAGATCCCCATGAGTTCAAGTCCAGCCTCAACTACACAGTGAGACCCTGTCATAAGACATAACAAGACAAGGCAAGAGTTCCTATTCTGTCAGTTTCTAGCTAGGGGATCAAAGAGAAGCTGCTCTTCCTGATGCCACACTAGTACAGATGAAATACAGTGGTAGCTTGGTTCACAAACTTAAGGTGTTCTAGGATTTTGGAAAAGAGCTATGTTTGTATTTATTTGTGTGGAAAAGACGGTTACAGTCATATTTGTCACCCAACCCCGACAGTTTGCAAACAAAAACACAATTTCGCCACATGCTTCTATTGGTGAACTAAAATGTTTGCAAACAAAAGCATTCGTGAACGAGGTACCACTGTGGTGTCTGTCTCTGCATCCCTCCGAAAGAACCTGGCACTGATTTGTGCAGGTTATTACTCAGTTCTTCTTGTATGTCAGATACAGCAATAAGGTTTCACAGGAGATAGTTCTACTTCATGGAATTAGCAGAAGACTGATGTTCAAATATAACACATTACAGGAATTAAATGACAAGGTTTCATATTATTGCCAATACTTTTTCTGCCTTGGTACCAGCCAAGTTAGTTATTAAAGCTTTTGTGATATGATACTGACATAATGTCCAAAAGAAAAATATGCATTTGTAGAAGTTTCTATCACCCTTTTCTTTTAAAACTTTTTTTTTTTTTTTTTTAATGTATTTGGTACAGGGTCTCGCTATGCAGCTTGGACGCACAGTGATCCTCCTATTTTCAGCTTTCTCAGTGCTGGGATGACAGGTGTGCACCACCACGCCCGGTCTCAGTGACTGGCTCAGCACACCTGAGGGCAGGGCCAGGGTGGCATGTGGTGCTGGGGATGGAACCCCGGTCCCTGCACTTGCCTGAGCAGGTGCTTAGTCTGCTGAGCTATCCTGCCAGCCCTCTCATTTTTTAATGTAAATTAAAACATAGGCACATAATATAAGACACAAAGTAATACACACTAAACAGTTAAAGGTCATTGGTAGTGATGCCTGCCTGTAATCTCAACACTGAGATCTGAGAAGTTGTACAAAGAAGACTATAAGTATGAACTCAGCCAGGGCGATTTAGCAATTTAGTGAGAACCTGTCTCAAAATGAAAAATGAGGGTCTGGTTTAAAAAAATAAAATATTAAAGCACCTGCTTAAGCAGATGCAAGGACCGGGGTTCAATCCCCAGGGTGCAGTGCCAGCTCTGCTCCCACGGCTTGCTGAGCCGGTGACTGAGACTGGGCGTGGTGGGGCACGCCTGTATTCCCAGCACTTGGTAGGCTGAAAATAGGAGAATCACTATGAGTCCGATCTGTGTAGTGAGATCCTACAGACCCTGTATTAAATACAAAAACAAAACAATAAATAAAATAAAATAAAAATAAGGGTCTGCAGGGTTCCAACCCCGGTGTGCTGTGCTGTGCTCCCGGGACACACTGAGATGGCAATTGAGACTGGGCATGGCAGTGCATGCCTGTAATACCAGCACATGGGAGGCTGAAAACAGGAAGATCACTACAAATCTGATTTGTGTAGCGAGACTCTGTGGATCCTGTACTAAATACATATATTATTTAAAAAAAAAAAAAAAAAAAAACTTAGCGAATTAAAGTGCCTGCTTAGGCAGAGCGCAGCGGCTGGGGTCTGTATGAGGAAGTATCAAACACTTGTCAGGCCTGCCTCAATGGTATCAAACCCTACAATCCATCAGTATTATATACATTTTGCATTTTATTAATGTAGATTTAAATTTAAATTTCATGTGTCCCAATGTGATAGATTAAGATGTAATAGACTAAATTCATGAGATTGGCTGGGGAGATAGCTCAGTAGAGTAAGTGCTTGCCTGGCAAGCACAGGGTCCTGAGTTCAATCCCCAGTATCGCAAAAAATAAATAAATAAATAAATAAATTCATGAGATTTACCCTTTTTCTTTCATTTTTTTTCCATAAATTTATTGAGAAACAAACAGCAATGAGACAGTTTCAAACCAAACCAGTAGGATAGTTTCAATAATTAACACATTGTATACATTCTTCCTAGTGGTTAATTGCTGTACAAGATGCAGACATGATATCCTACTTACAAACACCATTAGAACAAATCCCTCTATTCATTAAGAGAACGTATATTGATCCTAGCCATTTGAATACACAGCTACAAAATGGACATTCATCTGCATCCCCTTTTGTTGTTAAGTTCCGTCATTTGAATATTATAGGTGTGTAAACTCAGCAAACTATTCTAAAAGAGTTCGGTAGCCCATAATAGTATTGGGTCTTCTGCTTCACTGGCAATGTCAGAAATTGTTGACCTGAGTCCCTACAGCTCAACATAACACCATGGCTTTACTTCTTATATTTCGCTTTTATACTTTTCTGCTGGATGGCTAAGACCAAGGTAAAGCAGGACCTATGCAGCAAGAGTTGTAGCTTTTGGGTCTAATAAGGTCAGTGAAATCCCCTCAGGATTTATCCTGAGATTCTGTGCCTCAGATTGTAGAACCTTTGTCAGTGTCAGCCATGTGGATGAGTCACAGCCATTGCTTGGCCATTGTGATCTCTGTGAAAGCCTGAGAGAATGTTTTCTCTCCATGTGACTCTCCTTAGGCACACTCTACATCATCAGTCACTTTCCTCTTTGGCCCCATAATCTCCTTGATCAGAAAATTTGGGACACTACTGAGTTCCATGACGTTACAGTACAGGTTCTCATATGTCCTGAGACTTAATTGACCTTGGAAGGCTAGGGCCAAAATGTTGGCTTTCCTTGTGGCCCTCCTTTTTCTCTAATTTTGGTCTGCAAACTTAGGTTGTTAACCATCCAGAAGACAAGCTTATTGTTATTACCATACAACTTAGGCTGTTAAGCTTAACCTCACTGTCTGCATATCAAACATCTTAGGCATAATATGCAACAGGTATTTTTCATCAAGTATTGATATGTTGAACTTTAAGTCCCTACAGAATAAAAAACATTTAAAAATTAGAATATATTTTAAAAATAGGCAGGATTAACCTTTTGAAATGTCTGTTTTTGCTTTTAGTACTGTGGCCCAGGAAAAGGATGAGGTTTCTTCCTAAAGTACTCCTTCACTTCACTGCCTTTGAGCAGTATGCTAGAGTATCAGACAGTACCACACACAGGGCAAGGACCTCCTCTCTCAATCTCCTAAAAACAGAAGAAAAAAAATAGGAAAAAAGTTTCAAAAGGAATGTGGAAAGGAACAATCTTTGTGCTTCTTCCCTTCTTCTCTTCAGTTAGTGGGTCCCTTTATTTTAACCCTTCCGAAGACCAGGATTAAAAACTGACATGGTTAACTAAAACTGTGGTGGTTTTAAAAATGGAAAAGAAGTGCTGGGATATAGTTCAGTGGTAGAGCACTTACCTAACATGCACAAGGCCCTGGTTCAATCCCTGGTCAGACAGACAGACAAATAGTATTTAAGAGTGCATATACCCCTCAAAACATGTGCTACTAAAAAAGGTGGGTTAAAAAATGGAACCACTGGGGCTGGAGAGATGGCTCAGTGGTCTAAAGCACCTACTTGAAACAAGCTTGGCAAAGCA